TACTCTGATCATGCGGCGGTAACTAGATTGTACTCAGGGAAAAAACTTATCCCCAAGGTTAATAAGATGGGCACTCAAGCTACAAGAATATAATCTGGTAATCAAGCATACCCCCGGAAAGGAAAATATCGTAGCAGATGCCCTATCCAGAATTAAAATAGATGAAGAAGGTAATACTGTAAAGGTGGCAATGCTCACAGCATGTACAATAAATTCCCGAGAAACTGTAATAACCGAACTGGGTAAGGATCCTGAGTTTGGAAGCATTTATGAGTATTTAAAGGATCCTGAAAATTTTAGCCACCAAGATATTGTGGCGATAAGAAATAGGGCGGCCCATTACGAACTAATAGATGGTCTATTATTTTATACAAAAACTACGAATTCCAACAACGAATTTCGACCTGTTATCCCAGCTAGTCTTAGATTAAATATCCTGCAGGAGCTCCATGACAGCCCTTTAGCTTCTCATGCTGGTATTCGAAAAACTATCCAACGCGTACGCGAGGCAGTCTATTTTCCTGAACTGCAAAAGTTAACAAGGGCGTATGTCCAGTCCTGCCCAACATGTCAAGCAGTTAATTATATTAATTTCCGCCCGGCCGGGTTTCTAAATAGTATTAAATCCGAATTTCCAAATGAAATAATTGGCATCGATTTATTGGGCCCTTTCCCAAAAAGTCAGTTAAATAAAAGTCGCTATCTCCTTGTTATGGTTGATCATTTTAGTAAGTGGACCGAAATTGTTCCCTTAAAACGAGCCTCCGCGAAATTAGTTACTGATTCTATTTTAAATAAATATATTTTAAAATACGGGGCGCCCCTAAAAGTTATATCGGATAATGGTCCTCAATTTGTAAGTAATATATTTGAAGACATGTGCCAAAAACTGGGCATACGTCATTTAAAAATGGTCCCGTATCGGCCGCAATCAAATATAGCGGAACGGGTCAATAGAAATATAGTGAAAATTATCCGTAGTTATGTTAAAAATTTTCATAAAAGCTGGGATAACTATGTCAATGAATTTGCTTTCGCCCTTAGGACCGCAAAACATGATACAACGGGCAAAACTCCTGCTGAGTTATTTTTAGGCAGAAAGATTATAACGCCGTTAGATAAATTATTTTATGTGCAACAAAGAGCCCCAGAATTTAAAATGGGTGATATAGAAAAACTAATTAAAGAAGCAAAAAGAAATACTGAAGTAGCACAAAGAAAACAGAAAGCTTATTATGACTTGAAACGACGGGGAGTAACTTATAAAGTAGGGGATGAAGTGTTAAAAATTAAGCATTCACTTTCTTCAGCACCAGAAGATAAAACTGCCAAATTTTTTCCACGATTTGAAGGACCATATGTCATAGAAAAAATAACTCACGCTGTAGTAGTGTTAAAAGCCAGGAAATGGTGAAACCTGCTCCGCAAACATTGATCAAATCAAAACCCTACTATGATCGTAATAAAATGCAAATATTTAAAGATCTTTTGCAGGATCCGGCACGGCAGGCACAAGCTCCAGAGGTGGAACAACGACAAGTACAAGGGCAAGCCATTAGGAGGCAGGAGCAAGTGAAAAGAAAGTTTCCCCGCGGAAAATTGAAGGTAACAAGAAAAAGAAGCCGTTCCACCGTCCAGAAAAGAGAGCTCACGAACACCCCCAGAATGAAGAAGGGAGAAGGACGACGTATGCAAAGAGAGCCAGGAGAAATGACGGCAACTATAACCCGGCTCTAAACGGAAGATCTACTCATCCGACAGGACTCTCCGCAGCAAATGTCGCCGAACTGCGGAAGGGCCACCAGCGGCGGAGGAAAAGTTACAAGGAAAATTTGAACGGCCAGCAACGAGGTCCAAGCAGGAACGACAGAAGTTTCCCGGTTCCGCCAAGACCAGCTGCCATCAAACGGCCAAGACCACAGGCAGAGGCGAAAAAGAAGGTATTCAAGGGTGACCGAACTGGAGGAAAAAGAAAGCTTCCTAGAGGAAGGCACTGAAGGGCGAGCCCGCACAAGAAGGAGGATAAATCAAACACGAATCTGCGCTACCTTCCAGGACTGGGCCCAGAAAAGAATGTCCGAATATCACAAAGATAAGTAAAATTTTATGTTACTTTGCAAACTTAAGTTAATCTTTCATTCTTACTTCAAGTGGCAGATTTCAAGAAGTTTTACCTCATGCGAGGTCTACCTTTATCGCCAAAAAGACGAGAAATTAGTTGTTACCGATTTTGGGTATTATGTTTTGCAATTACTCGCGCGTAAAACTAAAGTTGATGTATAATAGCGAATGTGTAAAGACTTAAATATTGTAAAAGTTATTGTATAAATTTTATTTAAAACATTCTGGCAAGAAAGAAGTTTTAGTCTGAAAGACTTTTTGAAATGTAGTATTTCAATGTAGAAGAATTGGCACTTGCTTTGAAAAGAATAGAAGTTAACAATGTACTACTAATGTATGTTTTCAAATACGTAAAATTAACGGCATGTTAATATGTTCTTATATACAATGTGAACTGTTATTTTAAATGTTAAGAAATACCGTGATATGGTAAAAGTGAAAGTAATGTTAAAATTTTTTTTTATTCGTGTGACTGTAAAAAGAGAAAATCATGGTGAATATGTGTTAAAGGTTGAATGAATGTAGTTAGGCTCTCTGACGCTACACTTCAGAGTTAGCCACTTTCAGAATAGTACCTCAGGGTTTAGAGTTGAAGATTAGGGTGTGTTACGAGGTCTTGTTATGTTGAATTTTAACACGTTAGTGTTTTGATTGTAGGAGGAAGTGTTGAACACGTATACATAAACACATTCGTGTTTGGTGTTTCTTTTACAACACATGTCAGAGAGCACGGGGAGAGATAATTAAAATAGTCATGAATGAAATAAGAATGTTAAGAGAAATATAAATATTCATGTTACTTGCCATTTCATTGTGTAACATTTCATTAAACTAGTTTTCCTTCCAGATCTCTGGAAGGAACCAGATTTGAATAAAAGCTCCTGTTTAGATGCAGTACAGATGAAAAAGTAATTGTCCATGGGAGCTGCTATTGTAAAAACAAATTTTTTTTTTTTTTTTTTAATTTCTAGTTTCTAGTGAGAAATGTTTGTAAAAGATTGGCCTCGCGTTAGATTCTAGAGCTAAAAGTTTTCAACAAGGTCGTTTTAGACCTCAGTTTCAAACTAATTAACTCTGGCGGGAAGTATGTAAGGATCTTAAGTTTTACTAACGTTTATTTTATTTTAAATCTTTACTATCACTTCTTATTTTCTACTTCCGGCCAGAATTAAAAGCGTTAACTTATTTATGCAAATTTGTCTGGCGAACGCCAAGTACTTAAGTTGTGGCTTTTTGCCAAGCGAGAGAGAGGAAGGAGTTAGTCGAAGCAGGCCGCTTACCTTAGAAGTTTTACTCAGTTGCTGGTTGCCTTCCAGGCCAGAGGTTTTAATCCTCTTGATAATTTTAAACGTATTGTAGTGTTCACAGTTCTCTGTACTACATACGGCTTCCTGTTAATATAAGGCCAATCTTCCACCCTTGTTTATTATTCCAAAGTTAAGTTAGAGTTTAGTTAATATTTTTATATTCTTACGTTTAGACCACAAGTGGTGGGTCTTGTATTCCGAAGTACGGAAATTATTGTAAAGAGAGAAAAAATAAAGGGTTTTGTATACCCTTCTTGTGTATCCTGTCTACTTCCCACATTTATTGAACATAGCTTTAGTAAGCTCTCTGTTCCGAGTCAGGTCTTTGCATGTTCCCAAAGCAAGTAAGGCGAAACATGAACCTGATAAGTGCGTAAGTCTTACTGAATGATAAGGTGCTAAAAATATTTCTTTCACTGTCGCTCGTAACGATGACTTGTGCCGTTTTGATACATAGCGCGACTGATGGACATGGCCTTAACATCTAACTCCTTAGCAAGCTCTCGAGTGGTTGGATATTGATCTTCTTAAAAAGTTCTCGCAGGCCGGCGTCATCAACATCCGTAAGCTGTCCAGAGCGCTCTGCTTCTCCAATATCATAGTTCTTGTTTTGAACTTTCGGTACCAAACCTTCCCAAGTGTCATATGATACATCATTAGTACTTAATGCAGCACGCATGATTTGGTGACATTCTGTAGCTGTCGTTTATGCAACATAGCTGGAAGTAAATTCTGGTTCTAATCTGGTAGCGTGATAGTTCCATTTAAGGTACCTTGTACTTAATGATAACGATATTTTTTACAAATTTCCCAACACAGTGTTCTAAAGCAAGTCTCTATCTTTCAAATACCAAAAACCGTTTGACAAAATATGATTAAAAACGCCAAAGCGATGTGTTTGTGCAGAAGATATTTGAGGTGGCGGAAAGCTTTCTTTAAAACCCAATATATCAAATAAATATATAACGTTAAGGAATGGAAATCTAAATTATTAAGAAATACGTTTTTGGTTTTACATTTAACTGTTAAAGCCCCCTTGGTGGGGAAGTGGTTAGTGACTTTGACTGCTATACCGAAGGGCCCGAATTCGAATCCTGAAGAAGGCATGAATGATTGTAAATGTATAGTGTAGTTGCGTGGCATAGGAGCACTCTAAATATGTGGCAAGGCAAACGTGCTCTCGTGTCGTTTAGTGGCAGAAGGGAGCGGTGGACCTCCCCGGGAATGATCTTCTTCAAAATTGAGGTGGAAGTAGAAGTCCGACCTCTTTGAGGCGGTGACAATCATTCTTCCATGAAGTATGGACTCGAAAACAACAACATTTAATTGTTAAGCATCTACAGTTATAATCTCAAAGTTAAATCTCAAGGATCCTAAGCCTAGTGGAATTTCAACACTTTCAGAACTGAATATTTTTCAGACCGCGTGCAAGATAATTTTAAAATGCAATGCCTTGTCCAGTAGCAACAGTTACTAGGCTGCGTGGATAATAAATGCGTTGACAGCGTGACATAAAAACTTGTTTTTCATCTGTAAAATGATATGTAACTGAAACAAGAAATTAAGTCTTACCGAAAAATAAATATATGGTAGCAGCAACACGGAACTTTATGACAGTGTCATTGTAAGTTGAGACCCCAATCAGGAAATCTTTCTTGAAACGGCACGTAACGTCATATATAGCGCACAAAATCACACACAACGTCATAAGCAACAGCGTCACTATAGGAATCAAAGTAGCCTTTGAAACTTCATACACGGTCCGCCAGCAACTGAAAAAAGATCATAATATTGAGTAAACAGTAAGAAATGACAATATAAGCACATGCTTCACTCTGCTTCATTATCTGCAGCGTCTCAGACTGATGCAACGTTGGATTAAAAAGAAGGTCGAAAGAAATTCTGTTTTTGTAAATGTAGATGAAAAAGAAATTTTCGCACTTTGCAGCGAGATTTCCGGAAGTTCGTAAAATTTCTCTATACATTCATTTGAATTAAAAAAGCTCACTAAGGTAATCCATTATGTATGGCATTAGAAACAGATTTTATAAATTGCAGTAAACCATAAAAGTTCATAAGAATATAAAACTAATATTGTAAATTTATTTCAAATTATATGAGTTAAATGAATGACAAAACAAAAATTGAAATTGTTGAGAATTATTTTTTTACTTTTGAATCCCTCGGTTTTTAAGCAATACAGTTAAATGTTGATAGAAAACAAATATCTTATATGACGCTGAATTACAGCACTAAAAATCTATACTGCCTGGGAGGACGCATGGAATATAAATTAAAAATAATATGTACTTCGTGCAGTGGTAACACGCATATTCACAAATTCTACAGACCTTTTCTACTAACGGTTTGCTCTCACTGGATGAAACATCTGCTTGGCGGTCATATTTGGAATGGCGAGTTATCACCTCGTAGACTTGGTAATTAACATCCAAAATACCTTGTGGGCTTTCAGTTAAGCGAGGAGAAAGAGCGTTTGATTCATTTGATAATTTTTTATTTTATGAATGAAAGCTAAGGGGAATTGTGTGGAATATATTTTAAATAACCTACTGATCTTATTAATAGTTTATTTGTATCTGGTTAAAGATTGAATTTAAACTGTTAAAAATACGATAAATTGTTCTGCAAGAAAAAGTGTTTAAATGGAAATGGCATATGTACGTTTTCATCATTTCTGTTAGAAAGAGTCTATTGTGTAAATTTCCATAGCGCATTAATTTATACAAATAAAGGAATATTAAAAACATAAATGTAAACATTCAATAAACATTTAAGGGCGTCGATTATCTATTCTTTTTACTTAAATTATGAGTAAGTATAACTAAAATTATATTTTATTCCATTATGCGCTATTTCTATTGTAACGCTTTTCGGGATCTTGCTACTACAAAGAGTACAAACCAGTAAATAAAAATAAGAAAAATGAACATTAAACAAAAAGAGAAAATAAACGTGATAAGTTTTTAACATCGCACGCGAAGGCAAAAAGACCAATAACGACAAAGTCATTCAATAAATTGAGGGTAAAAATAAAAATAAGTCCGTGCAAGGGCAGAGTTTCTGAAAATCACGAGCGGGCATAGAAAGCGCGATCTAGAAGCCCGAGAATTTCTTCCGTACTCCGAACCGCTAAGCTATGGTTTTCCCATTTTTTTTTTTTTTTTTTTTTTTTTTTTTTTTTCCCATGGTTACCGGTACACCACACTCATATACAAATAGGAAAGGCGATGAAGCAAAAGTCGCCAAGCACAAGATTCTGCAACCCTACGTTTCCTGTTTTAATCAATAAGAGCAAACGGTAGAAGAAACGGTCTGTAGGCTTTGTGAATATGCTGGTAGCGCGGTAAGGGTGCTTAATGGATGACAGCGGAATGTAAAATAATGTTCCTTAAAAAGGCATTTCGCTAAGGAAGTTTCTAAAGTCAAAAATAATAATAATATAACTTTCTTCGAGTGAAATTAAACCTTTGATTCCAAAAGCGAATTTATAGTTCACAAAAAAATTCAGTTTCAAAAAGTCAATCTTGGAATGCTAAAACTAAGATTCTCAATTTTCGAAATTTCAAAATCTTTACCTGTCTTCTCCGTAGAAATAGTATTCTTTTACAAGCCAAATGATGATGACGATAATGACCGGTAGACCTAAAATAGCATAAACAATCTCAAGGTAATGACATAATTTAGTAAGAAATTATGAACAAAATAAATATTTGTGGCGAATGTCCAGTTTCAAAATTTGCAAGATATATACGTTTTACGTGCCGTATTCCTTTAATTTTAAGACGTCCGTCATTATTCGAGCAATGAAACCGCTAAATACTGGTAGTTCTGCTTAATTTCAGATTCCGCCAAAAGCTGAATGCAACAGCTCAGCTGTGATTACAGCAAAGCCTCGAGGGATATCTGCCTAAGGGAGAGTTTACTTCGTGGAGGACTTTCTAAGGGAAATTGGCTCGCATACACGTTACACATGAGGAAAATCACAAAAGCGCCCACGTAGCCGCGGATTCGTTCGCGGGATTCGAACCTCGGACCGAACTGCCAGTGATCAGCGACTTTGCCGCTGGTGGTTGCTGATTGCAACAGAGTGTCTGTCTTCTTTGTGTAACGTGAATGGGAGTTTCTTTCCTCTTATGAGCCATTTCCTTTAGTCCCTTCACATACAGCGAAATCTGGGATCAGTCATTTCTTATTAATATCTAAGCAAATTTTAACGCATCCCAGATGTCATGAAATTAAAACTAGTTTCATGTAATTTTTCCTTATTTTGTGAGTGTGTTATATTTGAAAAAATCTGGCTACAATTTTCGATGACAGCTAATTATTTCTAACAGTAAACTGTTTTGTATTTTTAAGCACTTCAGCATTGAATTTAGTAGTATACTAAGGGGTTAAAAAGTTCTTGTTCCGTAATCCTTTTTTAATCCATTATAGGACGAGTCGTTTCTTCCCTAAAGGCCCACCAGTGGCCGAACGTTAAAGTCGCTAAACACTGGTAATTCTGTATGGAATTCGAATCTCAGCGAATGGGCTGGCTGCATGGGAGCTTTCGAGGTTTCCTCCATGTACAACGTGTATACGAGCCAGTTTCCCTTTGAAAATTCTCCACGAAGGCATCCTTCAAATTTTAAAGAGATTTCTATTGTAAAAAAATATTTTCTGGATGACTTTTCATAGCTCTGTCATTGTAATTGAAATTAAAGTGTGCATCTTAAACGCGATTACTTGTTAGATTTGAAGGAATACGATACGGGAATGAAAGAAATAGTAATTTTCTAATCAATAATTATTTATATGTACATATGATATGTAAACTCAACCAGATCTCAGAGATTCTGTGTTCTACAAACCAGCTTTCTCGAAATGCATCCTAGCAAGAAAGTTCAACATTTTTCAATAATTTTGTATCGTAATGCCCCGATTAAACAATTTTAAAGTTCAAGAATATTTAAAAGATTTAGAAAAGGGAAGAAGTATGCAGGCAGTTTTAATATATAACTACCTGCAGAATTTCGTCGTTATCATTAGGTTTGAGATACAACGCAAATGTCAGTGTACTCGCAAAGAAAGAAGTTCTATAGCTGTCGCACATAATAGATTGCAAATTTAAGAAATTTCCTTTGCTAGTTGATATTACGACTGTTATTCGTTTGCTAGTTAATACTACGACACCTGTAAAGATGCAAGATAAACTCGCATAACTCAGTTAACAAATCCATCATTTAAAAATAACGAAAACCAAGTTAAATAATATAATAAATTTTAATATCACTAATAATTCATCTATCAGTAAATTTAATTACATATGTTACCGCTAAAGTGAGAAAGTCGTTAATGTGCACATCACCTAGCTAATTTCTGATTAACTGATTTGCTTCATTAAAGTGCGGAGTCAAGAGTTTTCCGCTTTTTACCTGAATTATGTGCAAATTAACGGCTTCCGTATCGTTTAAAATTCAAAAGTTGGTTTCTCTAATTTCCTTTCTCTCCCCCTCCCTACTTTGCCCATTACCTGCTAGGCACTCTCTAATCTGAACATTGTCTACTAGGCGTTCGTTAAATTGAAAATAAGATCTTTGTCGGAACAACAGCAACGTTTTTGTACGTTTGAATTAACATAATATTATTCATTTATTTTTTTACATGCAAAAAATCAAATTAACACAATCAATTAATCAACAAATCAGCTGATGGTGTCAATCATCAATCAGTTAATAAAATATAATACACAGAATAAAACGGTTTAAAATAATACGATTAAGGAAATAAATTTGCAAAAGAGATGATAAAATTATGCTCAATTATTAGCGCAGTCTAAAGACTGGTAACACTTTGAATTAGTACATAACAACTGGATTTTGCTTACAAGCACACTTATTTGTGGTACACTTTGATTTGCAGTAACATTTTCTGAAACCCTGCTCGATCAACATTTAAAAAATTTAAACGTTTCTGTACGCAACAATTGAGCGTACAGAAACGTTGCTGTTGTTCTATAGCAAAGATCTTATTTTCACTTTGAGTAGGTACGTGTGCCTAGTAGGTAATGTGCAGATTATCTATGTAATTTACCTAGGTAATTTACATACTCATGTAGGTAATCTCAGAAATGAAACAGTTTTCTGGACTTACCTTAGTTCGGACCACCTTAGTTAATCTTCAGATTAGATAGATAATATGCAGAATAAGTGATTTACGCACTTTAGCTGTGACGTATATACTACAATTTTAATTACTGAACTACGGTTTTAAGCGGGAAATAATTGTAGTCTGAAAATTTCAGATTACAGTTGAAACACATCTAAAAAGAGTTCACTACGAATTCTCAAAATCTAGTAAATTGTTAGAAACTGTGAATAATACCACAAATATTCCGCTTTTTTCTTGGAAAACAAATAACAGCTGCTCTTGCTAAATAAAAACAACTAAACCTCACATGCTGAATAAGATTAAAATTCACTCAAAAGTTTTTCAGTTTTAGAAATTCCAAAATTTCTTCCTGCATTTAGTTTCTGAGCATAAACTAGTATAAAGAAAGAAACATCAATATATTTAAAAAATGTAATATTAATGTTTTACAAGCTTTGAGACAAGAAATGTGTCCTCCTTGCAGTTATATATGCAAGTGCAGAATCTCATCATAACCAGATGACTTCGTATGCAAATGATGCAAATGATGATATACTTCATTTCGGACTCATGGAGGAAAATTTCGCATTCATATGCTAAGGATGTAAAAAACTATCTTATTTGTTTTTACAATTTTTATGACATGAATCCTCATCCACTGCAAAATGTTTTAGAGCATATAAAATAAACGTTTACTGATTGACTTTGTTACGCTGATCAGGTACGTATTTTTACAATATCGAAGATCAAGAAGACAACTTATATAGTATTGATTAACAATAATGTGCTTTCGAGTTTTTGATGTTCATATATAACAGAAGAATTTTATCAGTAACTAAGGACAATAACACTTCTTTGTTAAGTAACTGTAAAAGAAAACGTACCCCATGCGAAAAGTGCAGATTTTGCGATGAAATGCGGTATTTCAGCAACATCGGTCTTCTTGGCGAACCTCAATCGGTAGAGAATGGCTTGCACCAGCAACCAACTGAATGTTACAAGGATCATGTAATGGGAGAGGAGACCCAAGAGCAGGCAACTTGATTTCCAAAGGAAACGCATCTCGCTGATGAACAGAAGAATGAGGAAGCACAGGAAGCTCAAAGACATACAGAATAAAATACTGTGATCCACAGTACAACGCCAAACCCTGAGAAATATAGGATCATGTTTATTAAAACATTGCTAACATTCACAATTCAAATATTGGCGACTATTTGGTTTGATTTATTTGATTACCGCTATGTGCATAAAAGGATGGATGCCTTTAGACAGGTAAGCCAAACTTTCTAAGGAAAACTCGTATCTACATCGCGATTAATTGGAAACGTTTACCAAGTTATGAATAACTAGAAATAGTCATGAAAGAAGTGTGACCATTTTATTATTTTCGGCCTCTCCCCGGGAAAATCATGTAAAGCACGAGTGACCATTTTTTCCAGGAGAAAGACTTTTGACCTTTCCTTTTGAATAGATTATTTATTTCATATAGTGGTGATGATGATTGACTTTCTTATCTACTTGTTATTTATTTCACATAGTGGTGAGATGTCCGCTGAAAACATCGCGGCGAATATATCACGGACAAAACGTCGCGGAGAAAACATCACCAGGAGGAAACATGGTATATACTAAGATCGTATCAAGTCAAAGAAAACAAAGAGAAAATATCGCAGTTCTAGAGCATCATAGTAAAAAACATCAACATAAAAATTAAAGCGTTTAATAAACTTTGCAGTTTAAAAGAATCGTCGTCGAAAATATCATGATAAAATACAAAGCATCTACAAATCATCACATGACGATAATGTCGCATACAATGCATATTAAAAATTTGCATATTCGCGTAATGATTTATGATCGCAAGAAGGAATGAGAAATGTTTCTACTTTTATATTTTATGTTTTTCAATTAACTAACACAATTTTGCTTAAAAAATAAGAAAGAAATAAGCATTCAAAGGCTGAAAATGAGTAAAAAAATTATTCTAGGTACAGCAGTTAACAGAATTTTAAACTTTTATAGTTAACTAATAAAAGACATTAATTAATTAATCTTTTTTATAAAGTTTTATTGATAATTTTTCATGAAACGCATAGTCTATAAAAGATGAGTAACTGTATGCTATTACTTCTATTAAAATTTATTAATTAATTATCATATGTTATTATATGTTACGTTAACTGCTATGAGTAATATTAATTTTCTTCTCATTTTCAGTGTTTGAATACTTGACTTTTCTTCTGAATTTTTGAACAAATATTAGTTCAAAAATATAAAAGTAAAAATATTCCTGATTCCTTTTTACGCTCGCAAATCATTATCCGAATATGCATTTCCAACTTTTAAAGCCTGAAATGCACATGACTGCTATGTTATCGTCATGCGATGATTTGTAGACGCTTTATTTTTTATTATGATATTTTCGACGACGATTTTTTTAAATTGCGAAGTTTTTGAATCGCTTTATTTTCGACGATGATATTTTGTACCATGTTGTTTTATAACTGTGCAACTAACCTTGCTTTTTTTCCCACGAAGTTTTCGCCTTGCGTTATATTCTCCGCGATGTTTTCGCCTGTAATCAGTGGAGATGAGGATTGACTTTCTTATCTCTTTGGTTTAATGTTTTCAGTTTTTATTTCCCTCAGATGTACTTAAAAAGAGGTACATGCAAGCAAGCCATCCCCAATTGTGGAGTCATGAGGGTTTTTGAAGTAGTAAACATGAAAATGAGCAATGTTTTCGCCGGAACTCAAACCTGAACCTCTCGAATATGCGCCGAGTGTGCCACCGTTACACTAAAAAAGTAGACAGAAAGGAGGGAGAAAATAAAGTAACTGACTAAGCAATAATATTATTCAAGAAACTGTGTCCTGTAGTATTTTTTGTATAATGCAACATGCAATATTTGAAAGAGATGACGTTCTGTCGAAAAAATAAGATACAGTGGTAAATGTATTTAACATTGAGTAAAAGACTATCTCGCTAAACTGGCGAGATATCGCTAAGCTGACGACAGTTTTGGCAACTCATTTTTGTTGCTATGTTTGGCAAAAAATCTCTAAATGTTATCAAACTTAACGATTATTTGACGACATTTTCGTCCTGCCTTTATATAACTGTAATTAGTGTTGTAATTGAATAACTGTACAATTCATCTCTATATGTAACCACAACCGTATCCGACCCTCAAATGCCTTCCAGTAATTTCAAGAAACGGAAGGTTCTAGAGATTTCTCGACAGCCGGGGGAAACTATACAAGACCGGAGAAGACATTGGCTCTCAGTTGTTATTTCAAAGCTGGCTGCGGAGTATTGAGATATCCGTGATAGTTTCGCATTTTAGATGCGCTTTGCATTTCACATTCTTGTAGTTTGAAACGTAACTACTCATTATGCTCTGTACGAATGCTTTTGTGGAAAGTTTCAGAATTGTAAAGTGTTTCTTCCGGTCAAAATTAATTTTATCAAGCTATCATTCTGTGTGCATTCAATCTATCAAGAACCCGTACGCACGCAACAGTATATTTAGTTATTAATTTTGAACTTACTTAAAAACGAAGTGGTGACATAAATTTTTTGATATCCAGCTCCATTACATTAAAAACTAATAGTAACATCCCGAAAGTCTACTATGATAAGGATTTTTATAGAAACTGTTCAGTAAAGTCCCTTCCTTCATTTAGAACACTCTCCAGTCGATGCTTCAGTAACATGAGGATAAGACGGGATCAAAAAGCCTTTCTTTCAGTTGTAAGGTTTATTTTAATTAACCAGCTATCCTATTATTTTCGCTTTTCTGTTACTCTAACAAAATGAAATTTAACATAAAGTACAATTACATTTCCAGTTTAAAGTTTTCGGACAACGTTCGACAGGGTAGGCTAGCCGTTAGTCTGCTTCTAATAAATTTCTGTTGCTGCAATTTAGCTTGCCTGAAAAGATGGGCCTTCCGAAGAACTTAGTTTAAATTTTTGCAAATGATTATCGAATATTGCAGAGTTCGTGAATAGGCTACGGATCTACATAAGCTGTATAGCCCGACGACTATTAAGTTTGTGCAAAGTGAGTTCCCAAGTACTTTCATGATGTGCATAAGATAGGTGCAAAATTGGCTTCGAGAACAGAAGGAAAACTTCTTTTCGGAACGAATTACGAAAATGTGAAAAGATTCAGGAAGAACATCGTCCTGCAAAGGGACTATACAGAGAAGTCATACCCTCAGTTGTTCAAAATTACTGTAAATAAGGCCGGTATATTGAATTTGCCATTTCTTTTTTATTTACCGTTATATAATTCATTCAGAAGATCGTTAATGAAATAAAATGAAAGTAGCATTGCATAAATTTAACGTATTTAGACTTCTGCTACCTGGCATAATGTGACTGAAATTTCGGGCCAATAAGGAAGCTCTGGCATTCAACAATAAAAAGAAGAAAGATTAAAAACTTTTTTTTTAATCAAATTGCATGGTACTGTATACTTTTAAGTCTCCTTTCATACTTCAGTGATTTTAAAATCGCCAAAAACTAAATAAAATACGGTTTCGTGTTTGCTTTTATCGTACATAGTTTATTATAGCAATATTACGTACAACAGCTTTAAAATAAAATACTGCATTTCCTAGTTACATTTTAATATGTAAATTCTAACTCACATTGTATTTAAAAATAATTTAAAAATAAGAAAACATGTAGAAACAAATATTTTTATAATATTTCCTTTCTAATTTTTAGTTAACTGAAAAAAAATATTCTTCAAGTTGTTTTTTTTTTTTTTTTTTTTTTTTTTTTTTTTTTTTTTTTCTGGTGGAAATTGAAGGGCTGGAACATAATCGTAGCCAACCTGCAATATATGACGAACTCAATGATAACCTTTTATATGCCGTACTTATTTGCAAAACAATGAGAATGAAAAACTAAATAAATCAAAATATTGCTTACTTTGAAATTATATAAAGTACAACGACCATGGACAGAGCGAGAATGGAAACACCGCAGCCGACGTAAATGGAGGTTCCTAGCTTGTACGGCATAGAATCTGGTCTTTTTGACTGAAATAAAAATGAAATGTAAATTGTTAGTGTAAAATGGCTTAATAAAATCTCATAAATGTAAATTGTTAGTGTATAATGGCTTAATAAAATCTCATAAATGTAAATTGTTAGTGTATAATGGCTTAATAAAATCTCATAATTTTTTGTATAGCTTCTGTCATTAGTCATACATACAAAATCTCCTGATATTAATAAATAGATAATTTTGACTTCGCTGATTGGTAACGGAAGTAATCGTAAAAACGCGCTTGGCTTAAAATAAAGTTACAACAGTGAAGTAACACTTCTTTCATTTGTGTTTGTAAACTAGAAAGTTAATATTACATTTACTAAATTAGATCGATTGGCGATATTTTTAATAAATTCTTCTTAAAACTATACTGAATATTTATTGAAGTTGATTTAATGCCGAACCACATGATATAGAATTAGATATAAAGAATCTTATTAAATTTAAATGTATTGAATTCGAAGATAGTTGCCATTTTTATATGCAAAAGTGAGTACCTTGATCAAAATTAAAAATAAATATATAACATACAGAATAACTCTTAATTTGAAAAAATTGGCAAAAGTTTTCTTTACCCTCAAATAAATCGTAATATTCTCGAAATTGATTCATACTGTTATATACATTAGTATCATGTTCCACATATTTATTTGATTAAATTGCAAAAGTAGTTTAAAAATATGTCAAACTTCTATGTATACTATATATTAAGTACACAAACATAAATTCAAGAGGTATTTCCTTGAAAAAATTGCTTATAATAACTAATGACAGCTAACACTTTTCTGTCGCTTTTTCAGGCCAAAAAGTATAGTTATTCAAACAAAACAGGTTGTAGAATTTCGTGGTCGTAAATTACCCGTCACATTAAATACAAACATGAATTTTCATCATCTGTTCTTGGAAAGAATTCTATGAAACCATGACGCATTTGGAAAACACATAAAGGTTTAAACTTGTAAATAATAGTGCTACTAATATTGTACTCTAATTTAACTTCTCAAATAAGAGTTCTGCTCTAATTTTTTTTTAAATGAAAGAAATATAAGTAAAATTCTTACTAATGTAAGAATTAAATTTAAGGTAATCCTTATGAGGCGATATCATAAAATAGAATGATAAACATAAAGAATGTCTTGTAAATTCTACTACTTTAAATTGTAGTCATAAATTTGTTCCATCCATTTGATCCCTTTTTGACATCGATAATAATATATTTAATATTCTTTATAAACTTAACAATAGTATAAAAGTAAAAGTATTAATTCATAAAGTATGAATAAAAAATCTAAAGTTGTTATGACTTAACAATCATTTAAAATTAACCAATTAATTAATAATTAGTTTAATTATGAATTAAATGCAGTTAGAAGTGCTAGATAGCAAGTATTGTATAGTAATTCTTGTAGCTCTACAATATTTAGTATATGAAGTTTCTGCTACTGAAGTTTATGTTTTGAAAATATATGATTTAATATATTAATAGCGGAAAATAAAACATTAGCCGAGTTCAGAGATTTTTTAGTTTCTTAGAGTTTAACATCAATACGTTTTCCTTCTGCATTTATTAAAAATTGTGTTTTTTAAATTTTAGGATCCATCATGAATCGAGAAAGCTTAATGTATCTTCGTTCACTTTTTGTATTCTAAGAATTTTCACAACAAATATTCAAAACATATTAAAATTAAAATATCAACAGAACGTTCACTAACTAAAATGACAGCAAATATAGAGAGATGATGGCAACGGCAGTTGTAGAATCCGTTCTTCAAGCCTCCAAATTCGCAGCCTTCAGTACTCCATCCACCCTCATTGTCTCCTATGAGTGGATCGAAGTGCACACACACCGGGTTCTCGATTTTCTCATTGTACTAAAATAAATTTAAAACAGTAATGTTTTTAAAATTTATGTCCTAAGAAAATAACATTATCACATCGAAGGATAATTTCAGAAATCATCTTGGCATGGTAATTTAAACATTGATTTTAAACACGTTCTTTCAGTTGCATAACTTCTCAAATTACGATAGAGATTTTTCAGGAAAGCTATTTCAACACTCTGCATAAAGTGCAAATGTAAAAATCTAACATTTTATCCAGGTCCGATGAAAATATACCAATTAGTAAAATAATCATTATGCTTAAATAAATTATGTAATTGCCATACATTTCGATCAAAACTTTCAGAGGTATCCGCAGTTAGCATATTTACACACTATGCTACAAATTAAAGAACGTGAATTGTTTTACTCAATACAGAACTGTCAGTCGCCAAAAGAAACAATACTTGTATTTACTTTCTAAATCTGAACGAAGGATCTTCAGTTTCACTCGATGATAGGCACTAAAGTGGTCTAAGTCAATCAGTGTATATTTTAGAAGTTATAAGCAAAGAATCCTTGAAGAAATTTAACTTTTCCTTCCTTGGGAATCAAACCTTGGTACGTATTTAGCGACACGAAAGAACACGAGAGGACAGGGTTTTTTTTTTAATTCCTTGCAAATTCATTTCTACATCTTCGCAAGGATAGTACAGAAAGCTGAAATTTATGTCTACTGTAGTATCAACAACTGATCTTACAAATCCTATATCTTATTTTGAGAAACTTAAATCATAGTAGGAAATACTTGCCTACCATGATTATTGAACCATGTAAAGCTTGTAGATACTAAGTTCTGGAGCATCCCGCGTAAGGTGTCGACTACTTATCATTGTAGCTTCAAGTATTCGCCCAAAATTTGTTCTTTGATCCAGTCTTTTAAATATTCTAAATATTACATCTTTTGTTACAAAGAAAACTACTTCAGCGTTTAATCTACGTAATATAAATTTGGTGCTGTGAAATGAAATCTAAATATTGTGAGTTGAGTAAATCATGATTAAACCGGGGCTTTGGCGAAATATGGTAACATTAAAGTTTGTTCGGCGGAAACTAGAATATGCAATGCAACCTTCAAACAATGAAACATCGCAATCAAATAATATATAAACTTAACATGCTCAATGCCAAGGCCGTGCGTGATGTTAAATTGGTCCATTTTTCTGGTGTTTTCGCTTTTAAAAAAGTCGGAGAATAGCACAAATTTGCCATTGCGATCATTGAATATTATATATATTATACTATGATAAATTACTGTTCTTACAATTTTACTGTTACTGTTATTTCTAGTATTACAAGTTTGCCAGTAGTAGCAAGTAATCTTTCGTTCTATGGGTAACTGAACGAGATGGCCGCTTTAATCCTAAAGTGCCATGAAATGAGATCACTAAAAATAAACATTCTACATGAACGGGCCCAGTACGTGTATTGGTTTATAGAGACAAATCATGCATCCTCGTCCAGTGAAACTTCAAAATTTAGTATGGAAGAAAAACATCTGCTTTTACAATCCAATGTAATATGCAAAGTTTACGGAGCCTAAAAAAAAACAATCTTGAGTATGCATGACAGAAGAATTCACGTCATATGATAAGAATACCTTAAAATAAGCATATAAAGAAGCTTAAAGAGGTGAATATCGGCTTGTTATGTTGTTTTAGCAGATTCATGAAAACCTATATTCATAGAGGTAAAAAAGGAAAAAAACAAGTCTGCAATCTGAAAACATTAGATTACAGTGTAAAGAAAGGTTTACCACTTAAAATTCTTTAAAATTTTAAAAGCATTTTAAAATTTAAGTAGATAAAAAGTCATACAAATATTTAACTTCTCAAAAGTAATGTCATAAAATTAAATTTATGTTGTTTTAAATACATTTTTAACTCAATGTCAAAAGTATTTCAATTTTAATACTGCAACGCTTGTTTCTGCTTTCCATATTTTTAAACCTAAAAAGGTATAAACAGAAAAATATCAAGATGTTAAAAAAGGTACTACATTACCGTTCTGAATAAAATTTAAAAATGAGACACGCAAAGAAGTCTACAATTTGTTATTTCAAACTTTCACCTTAGGCATTCGATATAATTTAGATGCAGACAATATGAACAAGAAAGTAGAGTTGAAAATTTTGCAATATACTCATTATACGTTGTCAGTAGTCTATTTTATTTACGACACTCGTTGTATAACGCAAGCTCCAAATATTATATAGATATCCTGTTAAAATGATCTTTTAAGTGATTAATGTAATGCTACATTCAGCAATACTCTTTTCTAATGTTTAAGACAAATGAGATTCTATGCACGGTCGACTTCTAAACACATATAATTATGACAGAAAGATTTTATTGCAAACTGAAAACAGTAACATCTTTTTGAGATGTTAAAACAATATTTTTTTCGTCTAAAACATTTTAATGTAATTTTAATTAAACTGCTCTTAGATATTGACTTCGTCCCTCTAGAGCCTCTGAACAACATACTTTTGTAAGAGATAGGACATTTTCAGATAAACATTTAACACGGATAATCGGAATTTAAGTGTATTACTCTATTATTATTTTTACACTTGTGCCTTCCTAATTATTGAACTTCAGTCCTGAAGTATTCAAAAGATTCAGCTTAGATTAGGTTATTTTATTAAAACAAAGCAGAGGACAACCATCTTTATGACAGAAGGGTTGCATTCATGGAGGACTTACTAAAGGAAATTGGCTCGTAGTTTCTTTATACATGGAAAAACTCACGATAGTTTTCATGCAGATAGCCGTTCGCCGAGATTTGAACCCGGGTCAAATTAAAGTATTACCACTCGGCTGCTGGTGAGCATATAGATTAAATCTTTATACAGATATATATTAAATCATATACAGTTTATTTAGTCATTCCTGGTGAATGCAAATATGCAACAAAAGTGCAACTTAAGCAGCAGAGCCCTAGAATAATACACTTGATATCTCATTGACGATGAGTTAATGAAATATAAAGCAGTTTGACTTTTTTAGGCGTACAGTATGCGAAAATCCGCTCCTAGGTATTTTCCCGCAAAACGTTTTAAAAGTAATTTACCAACTCGCGCAACAAATAGGAACAATACAGCCTCCGAGAAATACAACTGGCGCTAAGTTTTTCCGATAGTCATAAGTTGCTGCAATACCTCAATATTATTCTGGGGCTCTACTGCTTAAGCTTTACTTCCCAGGGCAATTACAGAGCTTCTCCCGAGAAAGAGTGGTACATGATATGTGTCCCCCATAGGAGGTCTTGGATGTTGAATAGAAGAAAGGGGCGCTTTGCCTCTGTAGCAGCTAGAGTCGTCACGATGGAGTTAGGGAAGGTGAGTATTCCCAACTGTGAGAGTAGCGTCAGCTTCCCAGGCGGTTATAGAATTTCACATTAAACGTGTTTTGGGTATTCCTTTATTGCGTCAGTTTTCAAGATCATGGTGCAAATTTTCATTTCGTATAAAGTAAGGGGCACCAGTCATGATCCACAACAGTATGTTTTGCAGAACTAGCAATTTTTGGAGTTCATTTTCTTTCGCACTTGCCCAGACTGGTAAAGAGTAAAAAAAGATCAGGAAGATGATAGCGTTATAAAGAAGTAACTTATAGGCAAGATTCAGTCTTGAGTACAAAAGTTACAGTTAACTTATCACGCTTTTAAAGTCTTTAGCGTGTTTTAAATTTGCCTAACCTTCTAGTCTGAGAGAATATATGTGACGTGAACATACTCGCTGAGACCAGAAGCGTAATGTGTAACTCTTAATAAAACTTTAAAATAATTGTCACATAATCAGCAATAATTAAAAGTAGCATTTACATACCATCTTGCGGAAAAAAATCTGAACGGGTTCTGATAAATTCCAAGCTGGTCCTCCGGACAAAGCAGCATACATGACAGGTGTTGGGAGAATCCTGTAATTTCTTTTCAGCAGGATGCCTTTTGGCTCAGGGAAGAGTATCCATTCCTTGAAAAACACCATATTGATTTGACATGGGAGAAGTAAATCTGATTCTCTCTTCAGCACCAATTCTGGAGGCAATAAAAAGTATGCTATGCTTTCTCTTTGTGGATATTTTGTACCGTTCAATAAGAATTCTATAGAACCATCTTTGAGGCTTTTTCCTTTCTTCGAGGACAGAACGGAAATGCCGATAACATGGTCCTCTTTATTGGTCAGTTTAGTATTTTTAGTATCCACCAAGAGATGCTTTTTGGAAATGATAATTTCTTTGTTTTCTTCTGTCGCTAGCCTCATAACTTTATCAATGATATTTAATAGCCTGAAAAGGAAAATTCAGTTTCAAATTATTACTGGAACATTAATATGCTTAGGGATTTGTACAGAACTGAAACCAACATTTCTGGCATTCATCGTGAATAAACTGATAAAAATAGCAGAAAACTTTGGAGAAATTACCTTGTCTCATGTCAAAAACATACCTGTATACAGTTAAGAAAACAGCAGGTGGAAAATGATGAAAAATTCGTTATATCTGTTAATTTGGAGAATTTGTACTTGTATTGGGAAGAAGTTCTAGTGCCGTTGACGGTACTACAAATAAGTACGTATGCGTCATCGGAAAATGATAGGAAACAGAGTTGTTTCAGATACGTGAAGTAATAATCTCTTACAGGCTGATCCGTAAATTGTTCGATGATTTAACAACTATATAGGCGATAGAAATAAAATATACAAAAAAAAAAAAAAAAAAAAAAAAAAAAAAAAAAAAAAATAGACAAAAGTGACATTAATGAAATTTACACAAGAAGGTACATATATGAATATATGCATGAATCATAAACAGATGAACAAAATGAATATCTGTACACATGTAAACGTAATCTAAGTATGCTGAGTTAACTTAATAGGAAGTATTCTAAAATGTTGTCTTTGGTCTTCCGTATGGGTGTTACACCTTAGAGTCCTAACCAGTGCGATTTACAATATGCGTAAGTAGAGAATTTTGCATTTTGCTTAGCGTGTTTTGAACTTTGGTAATTTTTACTTCCTTGTACGAAGTAAAGAAAGTGCTGTAATCACGAAAAATTCCGGGTACTATATTTCAACGAAAATATTCTTTTTTACCGCTATTGAGTGCAATTTAACGAGGTTTTTGCGTGACATTTATACGTAAGGACATCACAAAGGACTCTCTTTCCCCAGACGAATTAAAAAATGAATTTAAAATGGATTCAGAAGAGATTTTTTAATGGCGTCTGTACATATGTACGTATGTATGTATCTCATATAACTCAAAAACTAGTAGCCTCGAAACGTAGAAATTTTGTTTATAGGACTGCTATAACATGTAGTTGTGCAACTCCCTTTTTGGTTGCAATCGGCCTCACCAAAAGTACATAACTATATATACATATATCCACTCTGTTACTAGGTTCAGTGAGCTCAGTTTTTTTATTCTTTTCTGTTGGTAAATTGTGTATTTTTTGCTTTAAAATGATTGAATTATGTTGTTCTTACCTCCCGCTTAAGGTTTTTATGCCTTTAGTTAATCTGTATACAATAGCTGTAGAATTATCAACAATTTAAAAGTTGTTTAAGTGCAGCTAAGCCTAATGTTTTTTACCATAGCAGCCATATTTGTTTACATTTGAAACTTATCAGAATAGTGAATTCAGTCTTCTGCAATTTCAGTGTCTTTTCTCGAGTGGGGCCAAAAGGAAACTTTTAGTTTTTTTGCACTGAAAAAATCTGCCTTGTTGCCTGCTGGCCGAATTGCTTGTTTTTGTCTAGAAACTGTAATTAGTCCAAAGAGGCCTTGTCCCTAAAGGACTATTGTTTTTGTTTTGCGATTGTTGTGTTGAAAACTTTAAAAGGCTGTATCACTTTTCGAATCGTTGCCATCAAGTACTATCGCCGTGTATTATATTTGAAGAAATTAAATAATGAAGAATCTGCATAAATGTATGTATGTTTCTCGCACTGTGATAAAACAACGGTACCTAGAGCCATCCAATTTTAAATGACGTAATTCTGCTGAGAATATGGGCATCTTTGAGCCCAAGTTTGAAACTTGGAATAGGTTTTATTATCGATTTCATATTTTGCAAAACTTTGACTAATTTGTGATTAACAAACTCAACAATTTAAAAGCGAGCAATGCCAACACTCTACAGAGGGAAAAAAACCTTTCTATTTCCAGCGCGCGAAGCTGTGTATCGGAAATCCTAAAAATACGCTCATTTTAAAATTATTTTGTGGCATTGCTGTTGAACTGAATTTTATGGTCTAAGTGCAAAGAACATGATATTTAATAAATAAAGGTAACACACAAAACGTTAAAAAAATTCTCATTTGGACGTAATTTAAAATCTGAAACCTTTCAGATTTATTTTTAAAGTGTTTTAACAGTATTTGGTGATTTATGTTTTTGTATATCTTTCAGTTTTTAATGAAAATATTTGAAGTTTTTATGCATTTTTGAGCTGCTGCGAAGTGAGAATTGAATTAATTGAATAAGAAATATATCTCTAATGAAATTTGAGAAAATAAAATTTAAATGAAATGCAGTAAAAAATGCGTATAATTTAATATTCCGTACAAAAAATTCATGTGCTGTACACATTAGATTGTCAGTTTCGTTATGAGTCTGTGCATTCTTAACGAATCGAAGTGCGTTAGTAATCGTTGTTAGCATGTCGTTTTGGAAAACTATGATCGTTGTTGCCCACGTAATTCCGCTTTTTAGTATTTAAATTAAGAAGAGGCCTTTGCTCAATGAGACCATTCATAGCCACGTAAGACTTTTTAAAAGCACATAATTCCCTTGCTCCATCAATTCGAGCTTTTCGTCCAAGTAAACATAAAATATGTCATGGAACTGAAAATATGCAGAAGCTGATTGTTTATATTTATGTCGAGTGTAACTTTTATGCTATTTGCGAAGCAGAATGACAAAGCATTTGGTAGGAAAACGATAACAAGCGCAAACAAGAGGAATTCGATCTAACAATTTCAGGATAGTAACTCCTTGTGGTACCATTAGATTAGCGATACTATGAAAAAAAAAAAAAAAAAAAAAAAAAAGGTTAAACGTCATATGAATGATTTTAGTTCATAAACCCATTATCTGCAAGAATCCATCATAATATGTCATATGATCAAGTACGTATATGCTCTTTTTACTTCCTTGTACGAAGTAAAAAGGAAGTATTGTAATCGCGAAAAGTTTCAGGCAGCATATTTCAACAAAAATATCCATTTTGACCGCTATCGAATGCAATTTAACGATGTTTTTGCATGATATCTGTACGTAAGGACGGAATAAAAGACTCGTTTCCTCCGAAAAAATATTATAAAACTGCTTTGAAATGAATTCTGAAGAGAATTTTTCGTGACGTCTGTACGAACGTATCTAAGTACGTGCGTACGTACTTACGTACGTATCTCCCATAACTCAAAAACGAGTAGCCTCAGAACGTTGAAATTTTGTATATAGGACTGCTATAACACGTACATGTGCACCTCGTATTTTGGTTGCAATCAGTCGCACCAAACGTATATAAATATATTTATATATATATATCCACTCTGTTACCCGGCTCAGTGATCTCAGTTTCTTTACACTTTTGTAAATTGTACATTTTTTGCTTTAAAATATTGCAAATATGTTTGTAAATTGTACATTTTTTGCTTTAAAAATGATTGAATTATGTTGTTTTTATCTTCAGGTTAAGGTTTTTATGCCTTTAGTAAATCTGTGTCCAATATTTTTAGAATTATCAACAATTTTAAAGTTGTTTAAGTGCCGCTAAGCCTTTTCTTTTGACGGCGGCCATTGATTGTTTACATTTGAGACAGCAGACTAGTGGATTTGTTGCCAATCTAGAGTAACTTAGCTTCCCAACAACAAAGATAACGCCTTCATTTATTATTGCCAATTAAATCATGCTTAATCCTTTCTAGAATTTTTTCGAGGAAATAAGTGTTTCAGATTACATACGTAAATTTTAATATAGATATTTTGAGTTTTTATGTATTTTTGCCTTCTCGCGAAGTGAGAACTGAATTAATTGAATGAGAAATACTCAATCGTCTGTGAAAAACTGTTTTTTGTTTTGTTTGCTTAATTTCTTTTATAGATCAATTCTAGCTTTATTATTGAATAGAACATGTGGCAACGATTAGATAATTCTATTCTTTAAATGATATAAATTTTGTGCATTATGAGTTATAATATGAACGAAATATAATACTGTTAAGTGAATCTAACGCCAGAACGTCGCTATGGTAAACAAATACTGAGTGAATTTTAAAAAATGCATTTATTCTATTGTGGTTTATGCGCTGTCGGCGAAGTAGATTTAATTCAATCCAATAAGTTTAAATGAAATGCAAGAAAAAATGCGTATAATTTAATATTCCGTACAAGGAAGTCATGTGGTGTACACATCAGATTTTTTTTATTTTGTTAACTGATAGAGTAAGGCAAACTGTTGACTTTAATATTCATAGAGACTGTATCTCTGAAATCCAAAAAACAGCTTTGCTCAAAAGGCTAATTTTCCTACCTTTTTTACTCTTTTCGGTAGCGAATAATATTAACATGTTATATACCCCTTTAGAAATGATACTACTGATACATATTGCACAAAGGAAGTTACCTCTCGAACAGGAGTACCGCACCATACAAGAAAGGTTGTATTTTTTAATATCTAAAATATAAAACATTCTTGTTAAAAAAATTGCTAAACCTATCTTCTCAACCACGATCAGATAAAATGAGCATGATGATCCGAACTTTTGGACAAGCGATCGCTAAAATATTCCTGTAGTCACTCCATTCTTGTAATCTGAGATATGTCTCGTTGTTTTAGCAAAGATATTCCTGGCCTAGTTCACTAAAACTATGAAGTGTGAGCAACTGTTCTTACTCGTTACCAAACGTAGAGGGTGACCAAAAACTCTTTTCCTGATTACAAAACTTTTACACGAAATAATACTGGAAGACAGAAATTTGAAACTTTTATGATTCCCTAGTGTTATTATTATACATTACTTCCTTGTACGAAGTAAAAAGGAAGTATTGTAATCGCGAAAAGTTTCAGGCAGCATATTTCAACGAAATATCCATTTTGACCGCTATCGAATGCAATTTAACGATGTTTTTGCGTGACATCTGTACGTAAGGACAGAATAAAGGACTCTTTTCCTCCAAAAAATTATAAAACTGCTTTAAAATTAATTTTGAAGAGAATTTTTCGTGGTGTCTCTGCGTACATACGTAGGTACGTATGTATCTCACATAACTCAAAAAACGAG